TGATGATGAGAGGAATGGTCCCTCACTTCCTGTTCTGTCTTCATGACAGGAAGATAAGGAAATCCCCCCCAATGAACAAAAACAGTAAAAAAAAAACTATTAGCAGGGTTTTAAAGGCGATCTATGAGGTGAAAAATCACTCCTCCTCATAGTTCGAGCCGAAGTGTGACAATGAAACTGTCACACGTCGGCTCAATAGATTGGGAAGTGAGAGAACACATACCGTCGCTTGCTCACTTCTCGATCCTGTGCCTGCAGAGAGCCGTGACTGTCACTCACGGCCCCCTGCAGGGATTCCCCCTCTCCGATCCTCCAGCGCTGACTGGAGGAACGGATGGGGGAGGGGCGGGATTGACAGCTGGCTCTGCCTATCTAGAGGCAGAGCCAGCTGTCAATCACCAGCTGGGTGGGTCCAAACAGTAATGTCGGGATCCGAGCCGGCTGCAGTGGGCTCAAGGCCGTGACACACTGCACGCAAAGCAGTGCAGAGCGAAGAGAAGCTATCCGGCACGGAGCTTTGCGTGCAGTGTGTGAGTTGAGTGCAGTCAGATGATTGACTGCACCTTCAGCCAATCGGCTCGTCCGTAACAACCAGCCAGCTGTCGCATGCCGACATATCGGTGCGCTCAGCTACGCAAGCTCTCGCAAGCTGAACTGTCGAGGAGAAAATGACATGACACACTGCTCGCAAAGGCAGCGCGCCACCGCTCCGCGCTGCTTCGCGTGCAGTGTGTCATGGCCTTCAGTATACCGCGAGCTGTAGCTTGCGGTATACTGAGCTTTGGGTGACGGGAGGACGCTAGTTTGTGTCCTCCCGTTACCCTAAGGAGAACTATGGGGAAAAACACTGACCCCATAGTTCTCCTTTAATGGAGAAGTATTATAAAGTATACGCTTCCTCTATACTTCTAGACTGCAGCTGTCACACGCCAGCCATCCCATTGCTTTATTAATTGGCCCCTAAGCTAAGCTGAGCAGGGGACTCGGGACCTGGAGGAGGGGTAGAGCTTGCGGGGCATAAAACAAATGTAATGCTAAAGCTGAGCGAATCTTGTTTCGTAGGGAGCAATGCCTGCCACCGTCCTGCCTGACATCCTCCAGTTGCTAAATCAAAGGAATCGGCCGGAAAATTGTTGGCCGAACAGCATTTGCATTCCTTCAGATGCTGCCACTGTTCAGGTATTTGGACAGCCAGTAGGGCTGACTGTCAAAATACAATAGCTGCAGTAAGGCTCTGTTCACACCTGGGCGTATCGCGCGTTTTGCGACGCACGTTTTTACCGCGATTCGACAAAAACGCAGCAAAGAAGCTCATGTACCTTTTTCAGGCGTAGGCCGTCTTGTAGCGCGTTCAGACGGGCTGAAATACGGCAAGGTGTGAACCATACCCATAGAAAACAATGGGATTTTCATTTTTGAGCGTTTTGTAGAGCGTTCGTAGAGCGTTGAACGCGCTACAAAACGTACAGGTGTGAACCAGGCCTTAGAGATTGCTCTGAATCTGTTAGGGTTACAATGTTGAACTGTCCTGCCTATTAAAACGGACCAATCCCGTGTAAGGTGGGAGCGTAACCTGCCAACAGAACATCTTCTAATGTCAATGGCGACCAGCCTGGCGCTCACCTGCCGTACGACGTGTCCGCCAGGATGTACATTCTCACCCCGGTAGCATCTTCCAATTTTCTGGCAATACTGACCGATTCTACCAGAAGGTCATCAGAGAACTGCAGAGCCACCTAAACCAAGGAAAGAATAGAGCTTTGTATGAGTAAAACAGAATACTGAAGATGACCTGTCATCAGAGGCAGCCACTCAGTGGTCAGCCGGCTAATTTTATACAAAGCTTTAATGGGGATCAGAGTGAACGTTTAAATTTAAAATGCTGAGCGCTGCATCATAGAATCAGGGCTGTAGCTACCATGGGGCGAGTGGGGCACTCGCCTCAGGCACAGCTGAGAGGGGGTGCAGCCAGGGCCAGTCTGGCTGCACACCCTTGTCCCTGTTGCCATTGCGAGCACAGGGCGCCAAGCGGCCAACACAGCCGCGTCTTGGCAGGGAGAACAGGAGCAGCACAGGCTGCAGCTTTTCATCGGATCCCCGCTGCTCTCCCCCACCTGTATGGACAGAGACCCTGTGTCCTCAATTTTTTTTTTTTCTATTTCAAAAGGGAAATGTCAGGAGTTTAGACCCCTAATATTTCCCCAAAGCCCTCCAACAGTGAAAAACAATTAATAAAAAAAATGAATTAAAAAACCCCTAAAAAAAAAAAAAAAAAACCCCCACACACACTACTAGACACGTGCAAAGACTAAAAATTTGTTTCGGATGAAATGAACGGAAACTAAAAAAATGTTCATTAGTTTTGTGAAAGAAACACATTTTCAAGCTATTTTGGATTTGGCCAGCAGTGCATTCTGCGCATTCGCGCCCCCCATCCTGGAGGCGGGGCTCATGTCACATACCGCACACGTCTGTTGGGGGGCACAATTTTCTATTCTTGCATCGGGCGCAAAAGGAGCTAGCTACGGCTCTGCATAGAATGAATGTCAAATCTCCCCCTGGCCTTCCAATATCTGGCAAGCTTAATGAGCAGTTGTACGTCGTCAATATACCTTGTGGAATGACACCACTGCGGAGGCCTTTGTATGCCTCAAGCCCGTATCATACCACAAGGACCTCTGCCAATTCATACAATACAGTGAGGTCACCACAATCCTTTTTGGCCTCTTTCTCCTTAAAGGAGAACTATGGGGTTAAGGCTTTTCCCCACAGTTCTCCTTAGGGTAACGGGAGGACACAAACTAGCGTCCTCCCGTCACCCTAGGCTCACTATACCGCGAGCTGTAGCAGCTGCTCGCGGTATACTGAGGCGCCGCAGCTGAAGCGGATCCTGACAGTTATGCCGGGATCCGCCCAACTGCGTGACTGACAGCTGGCTCTGCCTATCTAGAGACAGAGCCAGCTGTACCCGCCCCCTCCCCCATCCGTTCCGCCAGTCAGCGCTGGAGGATCGGAGCGGGGAGGGGGGAATCCAGCCCCTCCCCTGTCACGGCAGAGAGCCGTGACAGGATCGAGAGGTGAGCGAACGCCGGTATGTGTTCGTTCACCTCCCGATCTACTGAGCCCACCTGCGACAGTCTCATTGTCACGGGTCGGCTAGAACTATGAGGTGAGTGAAAAGCACTCGCCTCATAGTTCTCCTTTAATAAATTGCAGTGCCACCTACCCCAAGAAATTATTGGAGCTCTGTACGAGTAAAACAGATTACTGAAGAGGACCTGTCATCAGAGGCAGCACCTCAGCGATCAGACAACTGATTTTATACAAGTCTTTAAATCGGATCAGAGTGAACGTTCAGTTAAAATGTTGAGCGCAGCATCATAGAATGGAAGTCAAATCTCCACCCCGCTTTCCAATGTCTGGCAAACTCAATGAGTCATTGTATGTGGTCAATGTACTTTGTGGAATGACACCACTGCGGAGGCCTTTTTATGCCTCAAGCCCGTATCATACCACAAGGACTTCTGCCAATTCATTAAAAAAAAAAACAATGCGCTCACCATAAATCTTTTTGGCCCAATTCTCCTGAATAAACTGCAAGACCACCTACCCCCAAGAGAGGAATAGAGCTCTGCATGAGTAAAACAGAATATTGAAGAGGACCTGTCATCAGAGCAACTCAGTGGGCAGTCAGATGATTTTATAGAATGGAAGCCAAATTCTCCACCTGGCCTTCCACTGTCTGGCAACCTCTATCAGCCTTTGAACGTCGTCAATATACCTTGGGAATGACACAGCTGTGGAGGTCTTTTCCAGCCTCAATCCCATAATAACCTCTGCCAGTTCATACAACACAGTGCGCTCATCACAAACCTTTTTGGTCCCTTTCTCCTGAATAAACTGCACGGTCACCTACCCCAAGAGACGAAAAGCGCTCTGTATGAGTAAGGGCCCGTTCACACCTTATGCCGTGCTTTCCTGCCAGATTCTGGCCGGAACGCACTGCATCGCATTTGTGGCTGGCTCACTATTTCGTGGGGCCGGAGAGGGCGTGGCAGGCCCTTGAAGTGAATGGCACCGTAGCCACGCCCTCCGGCCGCAATGCGATCGCCCACACGGGATCGCAAGGCAAGCACTATTTTGATTGCACCGGACCGCAGGCACTATGTGCCCTGTGCGGTCGATCGCATTGAGGCCAGGGGGCGCATCCAAGCTTGACTGCTCATATTTTGTTTAATCTTTCCTGTTGTTCGTTGTATTGTGCAGACCAAAAAAAATGTGGAGTGCTGCATTATAAAATGGAAGCCAAAACCTCCACCGGACCTTCCAATGTCTGGCAACCTCAATGAGTAGTTGTACGTCATCAATATACCTCGTGGACTGACACCACTACGGAACCATTTTCCAACTTCAAACCCATAATGACCTCTGCCCAGTCATACAATACAGTGCGCTCATCACAAACCTTTTTGGCCCCTTTCTCCTGAATAAACTCAACGGTCTTCTGAATTTCATAGATCTCCTCCAGGGACCCCCCGGGACGTGTACCGGCACCCAGATCCGGAGTGCTCAGGGTCCGATGGATGACGTTCTCTGCGTCACTGCTGAACAAAGCGGTGCTCATATTCCCGCAGCCCGTGGACTATCGGTGTGCGAGAGGGAGGAAAGGACAAAAGGTGCAGATCACGTCATTGGCTGTAAATATGTAAACCTGTCAAATAAAAGTAACACATTTTAAACATATTTAGTGCTAGTAGGGTTGCACAGATACTTTTCGAGTACCAGTGCCGAAACTTGGCATTTTCATGAGAACTATTAGGGTTGCCGCGGTTGCAGCTGGGACCGGGCTCTGGCGCTCCACCACTGTCCTGAAATCATTAGTCTGTATTGTTTTAGAAAAACTGTCACATGACAATAAACAAAAATGTATCAGTACTCGTACTCGCAAAACTGGTATCTGTACATCCCTTTATTTATATTTATAAAAACAGAATCATACATTAAAACAGAGATGTACAAATCCTGGGAGCTCCGGGTGTTCCTTACAAATGACAGCTGCCTCCTAATTTTTTCATTTGTCTCTAGTGTAGTCTTTGAGCTCAAAAGTATCGGTACTTGTACCGAGTACTGTACTTGGTATCTGTGCAACCCTAAGTGCTAGTTATGTACAATCCATTCCCAGAAAGAAGATCTTCAGGTTACAATATAAAATCACTTATAAATAGGGCTGGTAATGATTAAAATTTTCGTGTTCGATTAATCAAAACATTTTTTAATCGATTAATTTCAATTATAACGCACATACAGATCTAACTACATTGGCCTATACACATACAGCACAGCAATGAAGTAATAAAATGAACCAGGATCACACTAATCCAGCACGTTATTAATCTCACGTGCCCCACTCAATATGGCCGCCGCTTGAGTGGGGCAATGCCTTGGCTGGCGCTTGTGCAGAAAGTTTCTTGGGCAAACTCACCGGCCCAAGTGGCTCCATCGGCTAACGAAGGGGGGAGGAGTCCGGTGACGTCACAGACATCGCCGTCACCAGACTCCTCCCCCTTCCCTTCGTTAGCCGTCACGGACATCGACGTCCGTGACGTCACTGGATCGCCAAAGGGACTCCCGGAAGGCGGCGGAGAGAGGTGTTTTCATTAGCGATCAAAATTATTTTAATTTCTTTAATTTCCACAGCCCTACTTATAAATAATAACATTGTAAATTGTTAAAAGAGAACCATGAGGTCAGTGTTTTTCCCCATAGTTCTCTTTAGGGTCAGGGAAGGACATATACTAACATCCTCCCGTGACCCAAAGCTCAGTATACCGAGAGCTACAGCTCATTATATACTGAGATCGCCGCAGCCGGGACGGATCATTACTGTCGAGATCCGCCCAGCTCCGTGAGTGACAGCTGGCTCTGCCTATCTAGAGGCAGAGCCAGCTGTGCCCGCCCCCTTCTGCTCCTCCACTCAGTGCTGGAGAATCGGAGAGGGGGGAATCCCTGGGGGGAGCCATGACTGACAGTCACCGCTCTCTGCAGGGAGAAGATTGAGAAGTGAGCAGATCGGTGCATGTTTCTGGGTAGGCAGAGTGTCTACTCTTTGGTTGGTACATATACAATAACCATGTCATTGTAATATGGATGTTGTGTAGCCATTTGTGTAAAATGAAACATCTTTGTGGCACAAATGTTGGCGAAATGTCTTTTCCTTATGTTGTATCTGAAATACTGAATAAAACAAAGCCCTGTCACAGTGCCCAGGACAGTGAGTGACAACCTCCCAGGGGGGCATGAAGAGCTATTCAAAAATATATGGGG